AGCCATTGCAGATCGCAAGGCTAGTGCTATTTGAATGCGGTGCGGGAAACGTTCGCAGATTTCTACATTGCATTATAGTGTGAGGGCTAAGAGTTTGGTGCGTGGGGGCCTGGTTCTGTCTATGACAGCAATCACCTGGCAGGATGAACAGGACAGATCTCCGGACCCTTGGGTACTCCATGCCTGGCTGGTGATCAAGGATGGTGGATCAGTGATGCCTGATTTCTGCCTCCTCCTCCTCCCATTCCTTCCTGTAGCTGGGCTCCTCATTTTGCACCCCTGGTTGTCCCTTCTATCACCCTAGGCACAGTCCCAGCATCTCTTCTCCCAGCCCGGATGTCCCGGATGTCAGCCCCAGTGTTATGTTCCTGGCTCAGGCTCTGAACACATGATTTACCTTCTTAATGTTGTAAAGTCGGGTGAGCATGCTGACCCCCCCACGCATTGAGGAAGGTGAGTTTGTGAGATAAAACAACTTGATCCTAAAAATGGAGCCTTATATATAGTGGAAAAACAACAAACTTCCCAATCCCAAAAATGGGATAATACTCGTACACCAAATGTTTAAATAGTGAATCCCAATAATGGGATAATCATACATCAAATAACAATAAATAATAAGTGACAAGTGCTTTAAAAAACAACACACACAATATTCACATGTGAATTCAACAAATCTATAAATATGGATAAAAATGAAGAAATTAAAAAATAGAAAAATATGTATATTCGGTGAAAAAACAATCATATAAATAAATGTCCAATAAGGTGCAAAAGATTTCCACAGCTAAGGTGCTTCACTATTCATTGAATATGCAAAATGGTGCCGTGTGGGGTGCGCACCAAACAGATCCTTCAATGGCTAAAATGCCCCCTCACCTCCTTCATATGACCCAATGGGCCAATGCGCCTTTTGGATCACACCTGGATCCTACACGGTTAGGATCTCCTTGCTACCCCGACCTCCAAACAGGCTCCACAAACAGCATAAGGATGTCCCCTCTCCCTCCTTCGTATGACCCAATGGGCCAATGCGCCTTTTGGTTCACACCTGGATCCTACACGGTTAAGACCTCCTTGCTATCCGACCTCCAAACAGGCTCCACAAACAGCATAAGGATGACCCTTTCCCTGGATAGGTAGATAGGTGACCTTACAAGGTGACAAATCTGAGTTTGTCAGATAGCTTCTGCTGGCTGGGCTGCAGCACAAAGTGCTACAGGCTGCTTGTCCTCCACTACAGGAGTTGGGAGCGGGAGATGAGGAGAATGGCGGAGGCAGCCTGGGGGAAGGAGGTGGGAGGGAGGTGTGTTGTTATAGGGAAGGAGAAAGATCGCTTCTATAGCTCCCATGCTCCACAGTTAAATGAGAGCACTTGTTTGGCTAGCTCCACCGACAGCCCCTTCCTTTCTGCCCACATGTTGGATTGTTCAACGCCGGCACCACAGCTCTACCCGTTTCCCTCAGACTGAGGTTATGGATTTTAACACTGCCCCCACCCTTCCATCCTGGTGTCCTAAGGTGGATGCCTAAGCTGGCACTGGCCCTGGCTGTGGACACAGGTCATCATGGGCACTCTGACTGGTCTGTGGTTAAGAAGCCCCATACACAACAAACTGTTTGAACCACCATCCGTATTTTCAGCAATTTGAGTTACAGTAGCTCTCCTATTGGATCGGACTTACATGGGCCAGCCTTTGCTGTGCATCAGTGAGCCTTGGCCACCCATGACCCTTTCGCCAGTTCACCAGTTTTCCTTCCTTGGCTCACTTATGGTAGGTCCTGACCACTGCAGACCAGGAAAGTCTCACAAGAGCTGCAGTTTTGGAGTTGCTCAGACCCAGTCATCTAGCTATAACAATTTGTCTTTTGTCAAAGTCACTCAAATGCTTAATCTTGACTATTTTTTCTATTTTCAACACATCAACGTCAGGGACAACATGTTTGTATGAGGTTGCATATAGCCTAGAGGGGTGCTGCCCCAGATGGGAGGGTTAAGGTTAATGTTATTTCCCGGGTTTTCTTTGGTGGGCTTTTTGGTTCCAAACCACTGATCCTGTACCTATAAAAAGGGAGTGTGGTCTGGAGCTTTGAGCCTGGGGGAGCTGCAGTAGCCGTGGAGTGTTCGTATCCGAATTTCAGAGTTCCTGGCCCATGAGCTGTCACTACCGAGGCCAAGGTTCGAGATCACTGACCTACTGTAGCCTTCTTTCATGTAAGGGGACTGATAGTCCACCTTGAAGACATCATCCACTGGACTCCACGGACATGCCACAAATGGACTCTACCTATGCAGGTATGATGGGGCAGCACACAAGCCAAGAGATAGGGACTAGGGATGTAGGGAAAGAGCTGTATAGTACCCTGAACTCTGGTATATTTGGAATTTCTCAGTAAATCCTTTAAAACGTTGCCGTCTGCCTGTTCTGAAGTTATGAAAAAGATGTAATGCAAGTAACAGGCACATTTAGCCTACGGTTGGGGGCAGTTAAGACGCATTGCGGTATGAAGAAACAAGTGGTTATCAAGAGTAACAAAGGTTCCACCAGCAGCCTGTGGTTAAGTGTGTTCCTGTGACAGATGGGACGTTCTCTTGTAGCGAGGGAGTGTTTTCAGCATATCTCCCCTGGCGGCCCGTCTCCCATAGTAACGGGAGTGGATCAGTGCTTAGAGGTTCCCAACCTGCGCAGTTGGTATGGAAATGGAAGATTTAAGTGAGTGTACGCATGGAGTCTGCACTAGGTGCACAGCGGGGTTCCATTCCGCTACTGAGAGAGAGGTAGAGATACGCTGGACAGGCAGAGAGGGCATATGTTCAATGTGTCCCTCCTAAATGCAGCAAGGGATGTAGTGGTGTATGTTAACATCAAGAGAGTTTATTGGAGCTCAGTCTAAAGTGCAAGTAAAGGTACCCCACATGGTGTAGAGTAATGACCTGTCTCAGGTAGCCCAGAAGAACCCACCCGGGGTAGGCCTCCTGTGTGTCCCACACTTGGTTCCCAATGAGGACAGGAACATGGAGGAAGTGTTACCCGCCTACCACCTTTACATGTTCATTTGATGCTTAATATATAGGATCCCACCAACTTTCAGATGCCATTGTAAAGAGATAATCAATGTTATTCACTTTACCTGTCAGTTGTCATAATATTATGGCTCATCGGTGTATCTTTGTTCTCTACTTGCAGATATGACTAAGGTTGATAGTTTGTTTGTCCTTTGCAGGATAGCTGGTTAACAAGCCATAGGAACAGAACTCAGAGTACCCCCGAGCAGGGCACTGAAGTATCATCACTTTGTCCTGAAAAAAAAGAAAAACGAAGTGGTAAGAATAAAAATTAAACATGCTATAAATGTACACAAAGATTCAGCTAATCCCTTCTTGAACCTCTAGATATTACCAGTGTTATGGCTTATGCTGGACCAGGTGCTGCTCATCTCCTCTGAAAGTTATGCTACTGTACATGCATGGCTTGTTGCTCCACATGTGCAATATGAGGACCCTGTGTAGCGGCTCCCAGCATAGGCTGCATCATCAATAGCCAGGGGTTGGCTAATTTAAAGCGCAATTCCAGGAAAGTTAAAGTGTATTTCCACTTTTGTAGCCAAATTTGGATAACACCTACCTTATATATTTGTTTTATGTCTCCATTCACATAGCATAACTTAAAAAAAAATGTTTAAAAATTGCAGCTTACCTTTTGTAGATGCTCTGTTATGGAGCGTTCAGCAAGGAAAAATCCTACATAATTCTCTTTGTTTGTGAGGGGGGCTGAGCAGCTGTTTTTTTGCCACAATTAACCCTGTCTGTACTGTGCAACAGGCAGATCTTCATTATCAATGTAACTAGATTTGAACGCTGTCTGTTGTAATAAAGGGGTAAAGGTTTTGGCCCGTTCACACGTGTGCATTTTTATGTGTGTTTTGCAGTACATAAAAACGCATGTGTCATGAAAATACATTGATTCCAATGAGGCCATTTACATCTGTGTGCTGTTTTGTAAAAACAATAAGGCATGTCCCATGTACATGCATTTACCCGCATTTTCTGGCCCACTGAAGTCTACAAAAGCATTTGAAAACACGTGTAAAATGCAATAAAAACGCGCTTAAAGAACATAAGCAAAAAACGCATGGCATGGAAGTGTAGACATGTGACCTGGGCCTTAGGAGGCTCATAGAACATTTGATTTTCTTTGGTGTAAAGAAAGAAAATGTCTTGATTCCCCTATCAACACAGCCAGCATTGATGGGGGAATGCCTGCCACTGTGCACGTGCTATTGTGTTCTGGCAGTGGGGGGAAGAGGGGGGCACTGGGAGCTTCCCTGATGGGCAGAACACAATGATGTTCTCCTAGTGGCTATAGTCACATGGCAGTAATTGCATGTATAAAAAATCCAACAGACTGGTTGTACCTACACCTGCCAATACATGATTCGAATCTCGGCCAATCACTGAACCGGGACGACTTTCAATCCATGTATGGGTGACATTAGGGGCAGAGCTTCTGCATTGTTTTAATGCGGACAGACTCACTCTGACTTTGTTCAAACAACCCTTGCAGTCAGTCATGACAGCTTCTCCTGAAAAACGTGCAAGAGAAGAAATATGTTTCTAAAGCTTCTTGTTTTAGGCATGCTGTGTGAAAGGAAACACACATCAAACACACGTAATGGAGTTTTTTTCGAAATTGACTGCAAAAGTGGAAATACGATTTAAAAATAAACCCTTGCAGAGGGGCTGTGTCCTCAGAGCAACCGTAGATTGCTTATTTAGGTCTAGGGGACATAGAAAAGAAGATTGACTTGCCTGATCCACGCTGCTAGACTGGTCCCAGCAGCATCTTCTCAATGCTCCTGTGAGATGGGGAAACAGCTTTCATTGTTTGAACACTGTGTGGAAGTAAATTAATTTTTTTGACTGACATTCTGCGGTTTTTTAGCCACAAGATGTCATTGTTTTTCTAACACAGGCTCAGACTGCATTGATATTTGTATATTCATGAAGAGGTGGGGTTTTGCACTCAAAGTTGTAGTTTAGTGAACAGGAAGAGGAGACTGCAGCCATGTTTTGGACAATACTGAAAGAAGGGGCCGTGTGAGCTGAGAATCCGAAGACATCCAGGTGTGAATGCGTCCTTCACTAACCAGAGTTGCAGCTGAGTGAAGCTGATGAGATTGCTGCCAGGAAGCTTATGAGATTGCTGCCAGGAATGCTGATGAGATTGCTGCCAGGAAGCTGATGAGAGCAGAGGAACTAAGCAACATATACGGCAAGACCGCATGCTTGTTGGAGAGACATTTGTTCTGTTCAGAGTCACCAGCGGATGCAAAGCAGACCCAGGTCGGTAAGATCGTGCACGCACCTGATTTCAGTGTTGGCACCTTAAGACTGAGTCCAGGCCTATAGTTAGTTAGAGTCTCTGTTTGTGTCAGGCCACAAGTGTTTGTTACTGATCATTGGAAGGACTCCACAACTTAAAAGTGACATTTCACATTGGAGAGCTGATAAAATCCTACAAACCTCAAGCCAGACTGGCGTTTTTTGGACTCAGAAGGAATACTCAGGCACGTGCTACAGGACCAGTTATGGTAGGGGGATTTGTGTAAGATTGTAAGCTGTTGTGCTGCACCGCAGGCTAGCCCATACCATACACCCATACACTAATTCTTGTTCTTTTTAGGGTAATAACGGGTAAGGTGTGGCAGCTTAGTTTGGTGCCCGCCCAGTAGGTAAATTACTACACTTTCTACCTTCATCCATCAGAAGGCGCCATGCTGTGCAGCACAAGGGTCTCAGCCTTTGGGCTGAGTGTATGTATATTTATTGATATAAACAAAAGTGAGCGCTACTGATAAATTGTCACATAAGCAGCTAAAAGCACTAAGGATGATCACAACCACCTCTATAAAAGAAAAATTAGAAAAGTGCAGCGCTAGATAACACAGTGTAAAATACAGTAAGTTCGATCTAAATAGTTCGATCGTAAATAAATGTTCATAAAGAATCCTGCGATCGATTCATAAGTAAGGTGAACACAGCTTGTATCAAATCCGGAAAATGGCAGAAATGCGCACTCACCGACCGCGGCATAGGAAATGCGCATATGTGTATCAAATCCCACAGATGTCGTTATCCTCCAGAAAGGGGTGTCATCAGACGATCTGCTGGGCTAGACGGGCCTCCTTAGATATGGATCAGCCAAGGTATATATTCCTTCCAGGTGCAGGATTCCCTCCTCTGGATAAGATATACAGCTGTGTCTGCCAACCCCCTCAGTGAGGGGTAAAAATAGGGAAAAGTACCCATAGTGTAGTATGTAAATGCTTTATTGGTGCATAAAATCTAAAAAATCAGGTCAGTGAACAAGATACTGGCACTATGCCAGAAGAACACACAGTGAGGACTTTGTTAAAAGAAAATAAGTACTGACCCTAGTAGCAGTTGGCCGCCAGACCTACACGTGGTCTGGGCGGCTAGATCAGGCGTCACAGGCTGTCAGTTCCTCCTGAGCGCCACGTTTCGTGCTAAGGCACATCATCAGAGGGGATACTGACAGCCCTGTGACAGACGCCAAATGCTTAAATTCAGACCGCGGGGATTCGCGCATGCGCACTGAATCGCCGCCATTTTGCCGAAGACCACGCTACTGCGCATGCGCGCAGATCGAAGCGCCATTTTGCACCATGGTTATATTAGAACTGTCAGCCGCGAGGCACACTGAGCCGAGGCTGACAGCGCACCGACATCGGGCGCGATTGAGCCTGGAAAAAGAGGCTCTTTGTTTCCCAGGGAGGTGAATGCTCAGTGACATCACTGGGCAGATTTGATGACCACCTCCCTCCTCCCAGTCAACACCCATTCGGGGTGAGAGTGCAGGAAATGGAGCTACTAAACCCACGTTATAAAGGGGTTGCTCCGAATGTTTCGGGGTACTCCGGCTGATGGATTAAATAAAGCATATATATTAGATAAAAGATGATTAATATATAAAAATAATTAGAACACAGATCAAATCGGGCATCAGTATATATAGCTATATATTAGCTAAACAGCTGTGACTTTAGAGGGGAAATCTGAAGAACTATCAAATTCTCCACCGCCGTTTGCCATCAACTGATAATTTGCATCCAGAGGTACCCATTCACTTGCCACCTTAACATAAGAAAATAGCAGTAAGCACTGCCATCCTAGCGTATAAACAAACGCTGATATGCCACTACAAAGTGGTTAAAACAATCTCAAGGGGGTAATAGTATCAATAACACATCCCCTATTTGGTGATTCAACACCGGAAAGGTGAGTTATACAGATGACATGGTATAGGTTTCATAGCTTATTGTAGGTACTCCAGGTGCAAAAAAATTGGATAAATATCCAAACAGAGGACTCCATAAATCCCTACATGAGATGACCGAGTACATCAAATATAAGTCATAACAACATAACAAATTGACAAGCTAATATAAAATGGAATAGGATAGCTAAAAAAATATCGTAAAAATAACTATAAAATCTATTCAGGGATATAGTATAGTGTATACCATATCTCACTCTTGTTTAATTTTGCATTGGTAAACACCATCTGCTCTACTGAAGAGATGTACCCGATTATGCATAGTGCATATTATGCACAATCACTCTGCCACATAGGAATATACTATGGTGAGAGATGATCTCTCACAGAAATAATGGTAATATCTAATCCTAGGTATGTGGGGAGAAGGTACCTTTAATGAATCCTTGGCAGATATGGGTGTTTTCTAGATGCAATAGTAAATAACGTTAATGTGGTTACAGGTAAGAGTTAGCAACCCACCAGTGTGGGGAAGAGGATAGTTTATATAGATCGGACTAAAAAAATTTCCCTATGGGGATAATACAAAGATGTTTATTTCCATAAAAATCTGTGAAAACTGAATAGGATAACACTGAATAGGTAGGGTAGCTAAAACGGGTATTAGCTTATAGATGAAAAAGGTTGAAATGGAGGTATAAGATCTATATTTGGTCAGTCTAATGATGGTATATTCTGTAAAAATCGCAAAGCAATTGTGCAAGGGGGGTTTGTGTAAACCAGTCTATGGTGGGTGTCCATGATGCTAATTGTTTGCTATATAACACAGTTGATATCGATATCGATTGTTATGTCCTTCTGGGATGTAAGTGTCTAGTTCAAAAAACCCATTCTTGTTTCGGCTTGTGATACAGCCTAGTTTTATTCAGACCTCTCCAATATGGGTGTTATTGACCACTCGATTCCCACAAATTTGAGGGATAGAGGATCGCAATTGTGAAAACGCCTATTGTGATTTGAGAGTGAATGCTCTCTATAGCCCTTCCTGATTTTTGGCTAACATGTTCTCTCAATCGGTCACGGAGACCGTCCTGGATCGTGTTCGCCCCACATACATATGCAGCAGTGACACGGGCATTGGAGAAGGTACAAACTACAAACTTGCTGTTGCAAGAAATAAATTGTTTGACTAGTGTACGATTTGTTGGTTCTGGAAGATGTATAACGTTGTTAATCCTGTGTTTCCTAGTTCCATTACACTTACAGATAACACATTTGTTACATGGGTAAAACACCTTTCAATTCCTCAAAGAATGTGGTACCGGTTGGGAGGGTTAATTGCATTGGGGCTATTTGGTGCCGAATTGCTGTCAGCTTCCGATAGATGACCTCGGGTTTGTCTGGTAAAATTTTTGATTAATATGGGATCTAGTTTCAGTAAGTCCCAATTCCGATTTTATAATTCCCCCAAATCTGTTCCTGAATTGTGTGGAGAATGTTGTGATGAAGGGACAGACCCTCGTTTTGACTGGTCTAGATGTGTGTTACGATAACATCCTGTTTCCTATCGTATTGGGCAAAACCATTTGGAAATGGTGTATTAACAAGTTATGTCCTCCTTGTAGCCCCTATTTCAAGCAAACCTTTCTTGTAATACAGATGCTTGATCAAAGTAAGTGTTCTGGTCATGAACAGTTGCGTCTAATGCGCGCATATAATTGGCCTTTCGGAATGTTATTAAGCCAATTAGGGTGGTGACAGCTACTGGTTGGAATGTAGCTATTCCTGTCAGTGTCGTAAAGAATGATTTCGTTGTAATTTTACCATTAAGGTTTGATGAGTGTATATAGGTCTAAAAAATTTTCTCAGACTTGACTGTATGTGAACGTTGAGATGAATGTTGTAGCTTGTTATATTGAGCTGCTGCCAGTGAAAGAAATGTAACAAGTGATTCTTCCTCTCCATACCCGGTACCTGCATCACATTCTCATTGAGGAATTGAAAGGGTTTTACCCATGTAACAAATGTGTTATACTGTAAGTGTAAATGGAACTAGCGAAACACAGGATTAACAACTTTACATCTTCCCAGAACCAACAAATCGTACACATATCAAACATTTATTTCTTGACAACAGCAAGTTTGTAGTGTACCTTATCTCCAATGCCCGTGGTCACATGCAGTATGTGGGAGCGGACGACCAGACAGTCTCCCTGTGGACCGATTGAGCCCGGAGAACATGTAGCACAACATTCAGAAGGGCTATAGAGAGATTCACTCTCAAATCACTATAGTCGTTTTCACAATTGCATCCCTCTTCCCCTCAAATTTGTGGAAAATCGAGGTAATAACACCATATTGGAGAGGTCTGAATAAAACTAGGGCTGTATCACAAGCCGAAACAAAATGGGTTTTGAACTAGACACTTTACATTCCCAAAGGATCATAACAATCGATATCGATAACAACTGTTATATAGCAAACAATTAGGCATCACATGGACACCCACCAATAGGACTGGTTTACACAAACCCCCCTTGCACTATTGCTTGCGATTTTTACAGAATATACCATCATTAGACTGACAAATATAGATCTTATACCTCCATTCAACCTTTTCATCTACTAAGCTAATACCCGTTTTAGCTAGCTACCCTACCTAATTCACAGTTATCCTATTCAGTTTCACAGATTGTTTATGGAATAACATCTTTGTATTATCCCATAGGGAAATTTTTTTAGTCCGATCTATATAACTATCCTCTTCCCCCACACTGGTGGGTTGCTAACCTCTTACCTGTACCACATTAACGTTATTTACTATTGCATCTAAACACCCATAATCTGCCAAGATTCATTAAAGGTACCTTCTCCCACATACCTAGGATTTGATTAGATATTACCATATTTCTGTGAGATCATCTCTCACCATAGTATATTCCTATGTGGCAGAGTGATTGTGCATAATATTCACTACATGCATAATCGGGTACATCTCTTCATAGAGCAGATGGTGTTTACAATGCAAAATTAAACAAGAGTGAGATATGGTATACACTATACTATATCCCTGAATAGATTTTATGTGTTTTACGATA